GAGGATTCACATTCATCTTGGACAGCTCGTCATGCCCACCTAATCGCGCTCAACCTATCCCATGCTGTTTGTGAATTTTCTTCTGGAGGAGTGTATACAGTACTTGCTAAGCCAGACTCTGGAGCATACGTTAGTAACATTTCTTTTCCTCAAAGCTGCGTTCGCTCTAGCGTCGTGATTTAGGTACGAATCTCACATTCAACTACGATGGTTTCTCCCATATTAGCGGGAGCATCCCTATTACTTTGTCTGATCTCCATTGTGTTAACGCTCGCCAGAAGAGGCACGCGAGCGCAGTTGATTCGGCTTGGCTTCATAGTCACTTTCGTTATGAATGCTACTAATCTCTATTTCCTCAATAAAGCCGCTGTCAACCAGGTACGAGTTTTTCTATATGTCTGATGCAATCTCTGAAACCTGTCTTGTACTGTGTCAATCACTGCTACGCTCTTTTGGTTTGAGGAGTACGTTTTAATTCCACGCATAATAACTTTGGGCACTTGAGGATTCTTAAAATTCTTTTCCCTAACTTTGGTGACCACTAGCTTGCTAGCTTCACTTGTCTTTTTTAGTCTTGACCTTTCCCATTCGTGAAAAATAGGACCTTTGCTAGCATATTGTAACGCTGAAAGATTCCCAAAGTAAAAGTAATAGTACGACTTCAACAGCAAAGTATCTCGGAATGTGTACATTTCAAAAAGTTGGGAAAAGTAAATGTGCAAGGATTAGTAACTAGAATCCTTTGAACTGATCTCGTGCCATATTTTCCAGGAAAACTTTGCAAATTTGAATGCAGTAATGTAGCAGCTTTGACAGTCCTTATTTATCTTCGAGACATTTATTTTTATTGAAGAAAAAAACGCAAAGTGTAGTCGAATGATTATTGGTTTACGGGAAAATTGGAGTTATTGTAAAAAATCTGTCAGAGATAGAAGAAGGTGTTGTTGGCAGTGGAACTTTTGCTAGGCTTACCCAATTGCTGCTATTTTGAAATATTTTCAATTATAGAACTAGAATGAATTCTGAACTACATTTTCAAATAAAAGTTTAATCGTAGTCCAGATTACATCTGCAGATCTTCAGTAGCATTTCGGGTTCATAATGCAACATATGGTTAGGCTACTTTTCTTAAAACACTAAAGCACTCATTTCTCGTAAATGCCAAAGTGAAGGATGCTGTCTAGCGAATTAGCCCCCTTCGTTTCGTTTAACTCTATAAAAACTAGTATACATTCAAGA